TATATATATATATATACATACATATAAGAAGGAAAGGTTCAACTATGCCAACATAAATAAACAATGTTGTTGTTGATTTTTAATAGACATGTAAATATAAAGTTCAGATGAAACTGGGTATCATTTATAATCCATTTAAAGCTGAAGTTGTGATTAAAGACATACTCACTTGGGTTGGTTCACTACCTTTAATAAAGTTGGGTTTCACTTTCTTTTTACACATTAAGAAGTTTGGGAGCTAAGGGGAGGGTGCATAAGGTAAATATGTTATAAATATATAAAAAAATATATCATAACCATCAATACTATCATTACAGCCACCATACTATACCACAGCATACCATCACCCTCATTATCATCGTATGTAACATCGCCATCATTTCCATCACTAACATCACACATTATGACAATGTTTATATAATTTAACTTGCTACCGCACGTGTGCTAAATGAGGAGTCCTATCTGAATTATTGCATTTATACGCTGTTGAGATTATGAAAATAGGAATTTTCTTCTTCTTCTTCTTTTTTTTTGGTACACTGTATTGTACAATGTAAGGTGAAGTTTGTTTCAGTGTTGGCATAGGCCATCTATGTTTTGGACATGCTTGGGGTGCTAAGTGTAGTGATGAGTGCTGAGTGTTAGCACAATGTTAATGGCCAGTAATGTGTAAAATGTATACATATCCTTAAAGTTAAATATGTGTTAGAACTGTCTTATGCATCTACTTATGGAACGGGGGACAATCCCCCCCATGAGCTTTGCAATGTGAGTTGGAAATAATGTGTACAGCTGTACAAGTTAATGAGTGCAGGAACAAAAACCGAGACTGCTTTTTTCCCTTTTGATTAAACTACAGTTCTATCCAACTATAGAACAATAGTTCATGCACACCACACTTTCATTGTATAAGAGTATTCGGGATGCTCTCATTACTAATTCCTAAATGAGGTTGACAAGGTTTAGAAAACATAAGAGGGGCAGAGGGAGGACAGAAATAACTATCATGTTTTGGCAGCAGGCTTTCAACCTGATACACAACACTAATGGCTGTTCAGCCTGCTACAGCTAAACATCTACTGTAAGATGTAAACAGATTGAAACAGCATGACTGCAGCTGCTGTGTAAGACACGAAAGGTTATTGATTTGTGATATAATTTGACAGTAAAATAAATCTGCTTATTCTACAATAATAAATAACTGCACTATTATACTCTGGTCCACAGTATACATATTTTACATCCAACGACCCTTCATGTGCCATTCCTCGACCCCTGCATACTTATGTGTTCTCTCTGAATTTTTATTGTGTTGTACTTGCTTGTGTTCGCCAGTTCGATGTCTCATACGCTCTATACTAATAGAGGAACTCAGTACCTTCCATTAGGCTATCAATGATTTAGCCAGAGTAGTTTCAATACACCACAGTGCACAATCCCAGCTATTCTCTGCTCTTCTCTTCCAACAGTCTCATTTTAAAGTAAAGTAAAAACCTAGAACTCTGATAGCTGCTATTCATATTTCAAAGGTTCAATATTATGATTTGAGGCTTCACGTGTTTCTTTTAGCAAAGTGAACCAAGCTCATTTCTGGTGCAAGAATGTACAAATATTTAAACATTTTTGTCAATATTTGTTCAAATTAGATTAAACCAGACAAAGCAGCTGAATAAGCTACCTTTAAGAGTTCAGGTTTTTAGCTCGGCGTAAGGTTTTTTTGAGTGTGTTTTTTATAATTATATAATTACACTTCAGATGCAGTATTGTAGCAAATTCATGCATATAATATGTGTAATTATGCTCCATATACAGCCTTGATCGGAAATCAAATGAGTTGATTCACTACAAGTGAAAGCAGGGCTAAAAAAAAACAAAAAGAAAAAGTCCCCAATCTTTATCATGATAGTCTGTGAACCAATCAGCAGCGACCATCTAAGTCATCAACCAATAAATACCCCAACTTCAGATAATGATTTGGTTTTAATTTCTCCTCGCCAGTAGCAATACTCCGAGCAAAATGGCTCCCGCAGCAATAACGGCCCCACCAATAAGAAAGGGCTTCAGGTGTTCCAGAGAGTCTGTGCCGGAGGCTGCAGCTTCGTCACCTGCTGCTGCTGTCTCTGTTTCCGCTGCTCCATCCTGCGCAGGAGGGCGATGCTCCGGCTCAGGAGCTGCAGGGGCAGGGTCAGACTTGCGTGGGGCAGCCGGCTCCTTTTTCTCCACTTTAGGTGCTGCCTTTGGAGCTGAAGCCCCAGGCTTGCCTTTGGCTTCCATCAGCTCTGAGACAGAGGTGTGGTCTGGTCACAGGATACTTTATAAGGTCAGCTCTGTGCTGCTTCACTGAGGAAAAAAAAAAGACAGCAAACAGACATTGCCAGATTATCCCTCTAAACTGGGCTCAGACATCATGTCATATGCTCTGTTGAGTGTAAAGCCACTGGCATATGAAAGACCACCTGATAATCATGGATTCACCTTACAGCAGTGAAGCAGTCGTGAGGCGATAGGGCCTTAAATGTGACCTTGGAAATATGACATTGATAGGAATGCTCTGGTGCTTATAGGGGCTCGAAATTGTTTATTTTGGTGACATCTCCTGTGACACGATCTCCCACTGAAGGAAAAAGAAGCCACAGAAGCGTCCTATGTTAAGGTTTTTCATGGGACAATCTTCTAGCTTTATAATGGAGGCAAGGGGGGGAGGAAAGCATTGCATCTGCAGAGCTGATGTAAGGCTTAATCTTTACTCCTTTGACCGTGAGAAGAGCCTATAGTGGAAATGCAACATGAAGATTTTATCTTTTTTCCCCTCCTTGTTCTCTATTCTGTAAAGCCCGCATGAGTCGTTTGTGCTATAAATGTAGGACAAGATGGAGGAAAGAAATAAGGAGTACAGTCACTGCAACAGAGGAAATCAGGGAAAATGCTAATTAGAACAAACGAAGAGGAATAAATACAAGACAAGACTAAAAGAACGCATTATTCAGCTTCAATATTACAAAATGCATGTTGGACGCAGCTTAACAAAAAAGTCCCCTGTTATACAGGAAATATCTAATAGAGGAAATATAGTTTTCACCTACCTATCCAGCAGCACTATATATATATATATTACAGGGATAACGGGTGGTACAGAAAACACGGCAAAAGTTGAATGTCCTTAACGTAGGAAGGTGGGAGACAGCGGAGAGATGGAGGACGCAGAAAGCAGACGGCAGGAAAATGAGAGGGAGAGGACGAGAAACTGGGACGTACCATCAGGTGCTCAAATTAGGGGGAGTCGACTCCTGGATCACGTCTTTTTGAGATTATTGCGCAAGCACAGACCCGCTGTCTTATTATCGGCTAAATAAATGGGATTTCCTTCATTATTTATCGAGTTTATATTACTGTGATCATTAAACTAGTCAAATACAGGCTAATACATTAAAATAACTTGTTTTTTCGTTTAGAAGCATTTTTTTTTAAATTATCTGTCGATAATCAGACAGCTAACTGCAAATAAAACAGTTTCTGTGGATAAAAGGAGCTGACTTTAATCTTACAGGATTTCGGGGGTGTATTGGTATGTCGTTGACAGTATGGCCATCAATTATTAACCTTTTACCCAACCTATAAGACGTAAGAGTAGAGTGACGTAGGCTAGAGACGCTATTCATAACGTAAAGGCAACATTCTCCAAATTAAAGCGGAAAATCAAGGCTATAGCGTCACTGGGTACATGAACAATAAATAAATTAACAAATAATTACAATAATAAAATAAATTATATAAATATACATTTATTAAAATGTATAACATATTCTTTATTCTAAATATATTTTATATTCTAAATATCTGATTTCTTTTGGTTACATCATGGATAATA